ATTGGATAGTTGAGCAGACTCGGTTATGATTAACCTTTAACATTACAATTTACAGAGCTAGGCTTGAAAACAACCGACAATTATATAGGTGAGTTGTCGAATATAATATATTATAATATGTATAATATATGCATATACCTCCATACTTATATATAACATAGTATAGTAACCCAAATTCTCCGCGAAAAGCGAATTAACTTTTTTCATCGACCGTGACTTGTTATTGTGCTAAGTATGTTTTATAGACTCTAAGCGAATTCATATAATATAAATGGTATTACCATATACATAGGTCGTCTCGCTTGTCTGTGCGAGCACGAAAACAAATTTAAGTATTTTCATAAATCAATAATAAAAGTGTGTAAAACGGAATTATAACAGATGTTCGTTGTACACATTATCGGTTGTTTTTTTTTACGTGAGTGTGTTGGAGTGCGTAGTGTTAGCTCATTTTATTTATAAGTGTGTGTATACATTTTTTATCACTTTGTTCATGTATCGTATATTTATATATATATATGTGTGTGTGTGTCAGTCCCCGCCACGGAACAATATTCAAACATCGTGGGGTATATTATTTCAGCTTCTGCACGTGTAAAATATATTTTCGCACAATGGTCATCGTCGACGAATATTCAAGTTTCGAGTATAAAGATATCGCGAAAATACAGTATATAATATACTAAAATAATAAGAGTTAAAACTATTAACGTATTTAGTCTTATACGTTATTATTCTATATATATTACATATTTACATGAACTAGGTGTATAGACTATTGTCTTCAGTATCTCTATAGATATATCCCAACTACGACCATAGGTTAGGTACTTGCATTAAAAACCACAAGTCTACGAGCGGTAACTCTGAAAATATTATTTCGTTCCGTGTGAGGTAAAATTAAACAACGCTCGGTCGGCACTCGTCGATACGATTTTCGATTTAAAAAACAATTCCTACGAAAACACTTATCCAAACAATTAAACGTCATAATAATAATAATGATGATGATAATAAATAATAATTTGCACGAATCGAACTGACGACCGCGGACTGACGACGATGACTGTGCGCCGCTAAATAAATTAAAAAAACAAATATGAAAAACAACAGCCTATAATCAATCGCGTGGGTACATAATATAATATAATTGATATATCAAATTGTCCGGACGATAATAATAAATTGGTTTAAGCCCGTGACACGTGTAATTTCGTGTGATAAAAATATAATGAACTCTGCGTGATACTATACGACGATGACGTTGAGAACGACGAAAATCATATTATTTAATTAAATACATAGAGGTACCTATCGGCTTATTGTGTATGGCTGTTGTGAATCTATAATAGAGGCGGCGGTGTCGAGATAATATTATTATATTCTTGGGCGAGTATAATATGGTACGTCGCGTGTCTTCATAGCGTATATTATTATTTATTTTGTCGAAACATTATAATTATATTTTCCGTTGCCAAATAATATCGGTGTGAAATCACGAGTATAAAAAAAAATGTGTGTCACGGGACGCGGCGGCGTAAAGTCATGGCTAAATAAACAGGCATGTCAGCAAGATTCTACTGCGCAAGCTGCCGTGCCCCATACTTGGAATAAGCGAAATAATCATGGAAGAATATTGACGCTTTAACCGCCGAATTAGTACGATTGAAAAGTTGATCCATTATACCATTATGTCTTTAGTGATAGTTTAGTGACAGGACAAAACCATGGCTAAATAAACTTTATTTAGCCATGGACAAAACATTGAGTAAGAGGGATGGGATAATGATAATCACTAAAGAATTAATACATGTTCTAAATATAGCAGTATAATTTATGTTATTATTATTTATAAATTTGTAAGATAATATCTAAAACATGACAACATAAATTGTTTGTTCCCAACCTGTCATTTAATATTATTCCAGCAACTATTTTTGAATTGTTGAGTAAAGAATTGTTTGTTTTTTTTTTCTCTTTAAAATGCCCAATTGTATGGTTCCTTGGTGTTCAAACAATTCCTTTCGGAAGCCGAATAAAAATATTAGTTTTTATCGACTGCCTAAGTCTCCTAGTATTCGGGAGAAATGGTTTGATGTTTGTGATATTAAAAATAGGACGTCCATCAAAAACATTATTGAGTGTCAGCCAAGTATTAGAAAGTATTTTTCACGAAAACTTTGACAAAGAAAAATGTATTGTTCAAAGACTGGCTGATAAGATGCTCACAATAATTCCAAAAAATTGTATTCCAATGGAAGTATTATTATGTCTTGTTCGCACCCGACTATACATACACTTAAGGGAACTAAATAGTAGTGAACGAAAAACAAATATAAAACAAATAAATAACAAATAAAACAAATAAAACACAAATAATTAATGAGTTAATGTTTTTTTCTGGGGTCAAAATTGTTGATAATACTGATAAGAAATGTTATTTCATTGATTATTCCAATCATAACTATCGTTTATTCCAAGTCTGGGGCACATGCGTAGTGATAGGGAAAACACGTAATCTTGCTGACATGCCTGTTTATTTAGCCATGCGTAAAGTATAAAGTGTATAGGCGACGTGCATTTGATATGAATGCTACTCAAGCGCGCATGGTGGACAAAAATCTAAGTTTTGATGGGACAACAGTGTACACTGTACAATATGATATCAATACTTTATTTATTAATAATTTTATTACATTACATAAAAAAGTAATTGCGTATAACTAATCATTTTTAAAAGATATAAATATGTTTAATAATAGTATGTTTACTAGTTACCATAATCAATAACATCCCATGAAACTAGATAATAGTGTTTTGTTATGAAAATTAATGTTTACAATTTTAAATTGGCTGTAGCCTGTAATGTATTAATATTATTATGTTAACTCTGATTGATGATTCGGTATTTAAATATGAGTCAATGTATAACTCTTTATTCAGGATTTAAATCTATTATTAGTAGTGGCTTTTCTGATAATGTCCAGAGTAAAGGAAAACTGTTGGTGAAAAGTCACCATGTGATAAACGTTAAAGAAATATTATTAGGTAACAATAGTCAAATTAATGGCCATGTTATACGGCAAGCTTCAGTTACGTTGCATCCATATCTAGTGAAACTCGTAGTAAGTTTAATTTAGTCTTGTAAATTCATTGTAATATTTCTGATTTCATTAATATTCTGTTTAAATAAATAATAATTGTGTTCAAACTTCAAAATGTAGTTGGAGTGAATAATCTAAAGTTCTTAAATTATATAATAGGTTAATGGGTCTAACAGAGATGTTGTAGAAGCTGTATGTCAATGTCCAGCAGGTATTGGTGGAAAATGCAAACATGTATATGCATTAACACATTATATAAATACAGAGAGTGGTCATTCTAAAACAAGTGATCGATGCGAATGGAATGAACCCAAAATTTCAAAGGCAGGAAAAGAAAAATATTGTAAAGGTAAAAGAATAGAGGAACTATTTCCACCTAAGTCTGATAAGTTGACACAGTGCACCCATACAAACACAATTCCTAATTTCATAACACCATCTTTGTTTAAAATTGTCTATGATGAAGAAAAAAAATCAGAGTGTGAAAATATTGTATCTGAAGTCTTAAATAATTTAATAGAAAATGTTTTAGAGTCATTAACTTTAGAACAGTCCACATTCCTCATAAATAAGATTTTGATAAATCAAAAACAAGAAAAAAATATTTTTAAACCTGATTTTATAAATAAAATAACTGAAACTTTTTATGAAAACAATGTTAAATTGTCTAAAAATAAGATCATGAACATTTGTATAAATACAGTAAAACAGTCCAACAGTCAGGCATGGTTTGATGAAAGGGCAATTAGATTGTCAGCTAGCAGAGCACATTTGGTAAAAATCAGATTAAGAAATTATGAAAAATTAGCCATATCTTTAATAAATAAGAAGCCAATGTTTGGCAAAGGTCTAAAAAATGTTAACTATGGAAATGAAAATGAAAAAATTGCACTTAAAAAGTATAAAGAAATGTATGAGCTTGAAGTTTATGAATGTGGTTTAGTTATAAATCATTTAAATCCTTGGTTGTGTGGAAGTCCGGATGGAATTGTAATGTCTGATGGAAAACCTATAAAAGTGTTGGAAATAAAATGTCCCATTTCTTGCATTAATCAACCAATTATTACTGATGCAGGAGAATGTAATTTAAATTATTTAATTAAAGATAGTAATGGAGTTATTATGTTAAAAAAAAACCACATTTACTATACTCAGTGCCAAGTTTTGATGTACTGCTGTAGTTTGCAATACTGTGATCTTTTTATTTATTCAAGCAAGTATGAATGTATTTTAATTAATATAAAGAGAGATGATGTTTTTTTAAAGGATTGTATTTATAAAATGAATCATTTTTATTTTAAATATTACTTAAAACAATTAACAATCCATTTTGGATTATAAGGTTTTATATGTTGGTGCAAAAAAAATGTAACTTTTCAAAATATATACCTACATGTTTATACCATATTATAATGTAATGTTTGTTGTTGTTTTGATATCAATAAAATTAAACTTAAACTTTAAGTGTTTAAATGTTTAAATTTAGAAATTTATATTGGTGTATTATTTATATAAAAATGATAAATGATTTGTATTTTAATTTTAAATTGTTTAAACACAAATAAGACACTTGAACTAAATATTAAAATGAATACAAAAATCATATATTTTCATTTATTTATTCAGTGGAAAATAATATAATCCATACATATTTATTTATATAATAATAAAATAAAATAGTAAGTACCATGCTACCTTATTTATAATAGGTACCTACCTAACTAAAACAAAAAATTTATAACAGAATATTAAAAAGCAAAAAGTCATAAGTCATAGTTAAAAAAAAAAACACATTCAAATAATAATTAAACAAGTTAGTATTATCATTGATTATATGACATACTATTTATAAAATCAATGGTATTATACAATTATTTTAATAAATAGATTAATGTATTAGGGGTATGGTTTAATTAAAGGTGGCTGTAAATTTGTCATTACACAACACACAAATATTATATTATCAATACATTCCAAAAGTTCAATGGGAATTTTCTGAAGTATGTTATAAATTTTTATTCTCTGAATAGATCTTTCAACGTGTATTCGAACACTAGCAATATTATAGGTTCTTATAATTTCATCTTCTGTAAAAACTCCATTATGCATAAATGGGGGCATAACTAAAATAGAGTTTTTTTCATTTACACTAGTTTTTATCCCAGGAAACCCCTTGTCAGCCATGACTTGATCCCCAGGTTCTAATAAGTTTAACAAACCACTATCATTAGTGATGAAGCTATCACTAGCTCTACCACCATATGCTTTTGAAACAAAAATGATCATACCACACGGAGCTATTCCAACTAAAAATTTACAAGTAAAAGCAGATTTGTAATGAGAGTACATAAACGCTCTTTGATCAACATGAGGTGGTTGTTCAGTTTTGATTTCTGTACAGTCAATAATAACCCTACAGTTTGGATAATGTTGTTTAAAAGATTGGGGTAAGGTGGAAACAATAGATTTCTTACTAGGCCAAAACACAAATTTTTTGGTAGCAACTGCAAGCATTTTTAAAACATTTTTAAAAATTCTTGAACATGTGGAACGGTGTAGATTAAAGAATATTGAAATTGATGTAAAACTAATTCCTAGTTTTAACTTCACTAATGACAACAAAAGTCTATCTTCTTTAGATTTTTTAGAATAATTTTGATCATCAATATATGTTAGAAAAATATTAAAAGTTTCAAAGTTAACACCACATAAAGATATTAAATGACTTTCATTTTTTAAAGACTTAAAACCACTAAAATATTCTAAGATGTCATAGTTTACGCTACCTTCACATTTATCAACCATTTTAGGTTTAAAATAAATTGAATCTAAGCCAACAATATTTGCTTGAGTGTTAACATTGTTATTGGAAAAGACACAAGAAAATTCAAAACTGTTATTAATTAAATTCATAGAAGTTTGAGTAGATTTATCCTCAGTGTGTTTTACAACATCAGGGCAGACAAGTTCATTTGATACAGTTAAATTATTAGATATTCTTGAATTGGTAGATATAATTGTATTACAAGATTTTCTTTTTTGTAAACGATTGAAGCGACTGACACTCTCTTGTGCTGGAATATTCTGTTTGTATATTTTAGGAAATATTGTTGGATAGAATGATGGACTATTTGGGTGTTTGGATGGTTTACCATCAATAAAATGTTCACTACATATTCTTGAATTTTGATTCGGTTTCCATGGTTGATTGTTAGAGCTAAAATTTAACAGATAATTACCACATATAATGATTATAATTATAAGCAGTTTTAGTTAAAACTAAGTACATATTACATGAGTAAAAGTTAATTTTTCATATTAAAACATAAGGTTATAATATAAGGTTTACAAGGGGGTTTAATTCAAAATAGGTGGGTTTTAGTTTTAGATACCTACATACCTTTTTCGCTTCACTGCTTGAATCCATTTATTTTTCTGTAGAATTTCATGAGGTTTACCAGGAAAACGAAAAAAACTAACATTCGTCGTGTTTTTATATGTATTTGTACAACCAACAACACAACAGATCTGATTACTCATTTCAATTTTGAATATTTTAATAGGTACCTACCTACCAAATAAAAATGATTTCATTGACCGAAAACAAAAACGGCCTACAGTTAGATGACTGTGATGCGGTAAATAAACCCGTAATACCAACGTATTGTATTAATTACTATATTATTATACTTAATTATATTAATTAATAATTATACGTAAATTAATCGCATAAACAAGACATTAGATTAATTTACTGTTAGAGTGTTAGATATGCAATATCGCCAATATCCATTAACAATAATTGACGTATACGGTATACCATCAACAGTTCGAATGTTGTCCACTAGGGCGCGCATATTGCGCACATGCACGTCGCCTATAGCTGTACAATATTATCGACGTGATAAAAGCACGATCGCGTGAAATCGATATGAAATAGGATTATATACCCAGGTAGAGGTATTCCATCGTAATACACGCTGCAGTGAGAGATTACCAGCGGCACGAACGAAAATTAAAAATATCGAAAATAGTAATTTTTTTTACCCGCAGATCATTCTCGCTTCACAACTCGCTTATTAGATATCCTCTTATTATCAGCTTTTAGATACTATTATTAATATTGGATACTCGCATTTGGACACCGCCTGCACCCTCGATCGGTATATTAACACCCCTTTCACGACTACTTATAGTACTTATTACACCATATTATATGATTATTATTTTGATATCAAAATCCGTCCGTACGGTAAATATATTATAATATTTCTATATTTTACAGTCGAGTCTCGCGCGGTTAAGTCGAATCTCAAGGGGGGGAGTAAAAATAAATTCGACTAGTGCATTTTTCCTGAGTTATATACCTCGTCGTACACAACTCAAAAACACTTCGAGAAGCGATACGAAAAAATTCGAGTTGTCGGCGTTTTCGGGTTATCGTGCCCGACTCGACTGTAATAATATTATTGTTAAGAGGATTGGAAGCTTTGACGATCTGCCTTTGTCTAACGCACGTGGAACATAGGGAAAATCGCCGTACGCCCGACCAAAATTAAGGTACTATTCCATAGTTGTTCGTTTCGAAATCGGTCGAAGCATATTTTTTTAACATCAAAAGTCGACGAATCGATAAAAATTTAATATATTAATTATTCTCATCAAAAAATATTGTTACGACAATCGAAAAAGCGCTTCGACCGATGCAAAGTATTTATAATATAATCAATGCTATACACCAGGGGTCCCCAAACTACGGCCCGCGAACAAATTTTAACCGGCCCGTGGCCCGCATAGGACGCATAGGTAAATATAGAAAAAAAAATATTTCAAAAATGTATTCATATTATATTATATTTATACCTATTTATTTTTATTTAAGTATATTGTAAAGTAAACAATATTCTATACAAAAATATAAAGTAAACATATTATTTATATAGGTACCTATATTATCATAAAGTTAAAAATTATATGTGTTAATAAACTTTTGGCCCTCTAAGAGCATTTGATTTTTTTTTGTGGCCCTTGAATAAAAAAGTTTGGAGACCCCTGCTATACGCAATATCATATATTATATTATCGTGATTCCTGCTTACCCGAGCGGCCGCCGGATTGGAGAAGATCGTCCGCGGAAAACACGCACTAAATCCCGGAAAAGTCACCGTCGAGGGGGAGTGGGGGTGAGGGGCACTCGGGCGGGTTTTTCACGCTGCAGACGACCGTCGAGACGCGCACATGTCGCCGGCGCGGTGACCTGCTGTTCGCGGAGTACTACTGAAAAACTAAACCTCGCCGCGGCACGGCACGACCACTTGACGATCGTTTTCCACGTAGGAGAACCCGTTCGGCGGCAGAGGCGGTGGCGGAAGTGCGGTCGGATTGGCGGCGGCGGCGGCGGCCGACGGAGAGGGGGGGGGGGCCCAGAACGCACTCGCGCGGTAGTCGTATATTATTATTATTATGTGGCCGCACGCAGCCGTCCGCGCACTGCCCCCCCTCCGTCGATTTATAAACAACACGAAAAATACAATACGCTCATATTGTATAATAATAATAATATATTATAATGCGTCTGTCTTTTTTTAAGAGGACGCTACACCCGCATGTGTTATCTCCGTCTTACACACGTACGACATAGACAAAACGCGTTTAGGCAGTCTGAGTATAACTCGCTCAATTTTGGTTCTAGAGTAAAAATACCTATTATGAAATTGAATTGTGATAATATTTCTAAGGGCAAGACGCAGCGGTTTTTTTAAAAAATTTAATTTTTTAAAAGTCAAAGGTATTTTAAAAATGGTGAAATTTTTTCTATTTCTAAACGATATAATGAACGTTATATTGGGTATAATGGAAAAACCGCAGCGTCTTGCCCTTAGAAATATTATCATAATTCAATTTCATAATAGGCATTTTTACTCTAGAACCAAAATTGAGCGAGTTATACTCAGACTGCCTAAACGCGTTTTGTCTATGTCGTACGTGTGTAAGACGGAGACAACACATGCGAGTGTAGCGTCCTCTTAAGGCTACCACGTGATCAGCCTTGTGTGTGTGTGGGTGTGTGTGTGTGTGTGAGTGGCTGTTATAATATATTATACTGCTCAAATTTGTTTCGTCCTATAAGGATGTCGGCGGCGCACTGTTTGTTTTCTCTCTCTCTCTCTCTCTGACCCAAGTGAGACACTGGCAAAAAGCATTCATCAGAGTTTTTATGGCTTTGAGTAATCGCAGAGTGAAATCATAGATAATATAATATGTTTTAGACATCGATAGATTTGTCTAAATATTGTCTCGAATCGACAATTTAGTTATCCATTTGAAGTATGCCACTTAAACGTACACATTTTCTTATCATTTTCAAAGTCGAATAATAATAAAATACAGAACCCCATGTCCCTATCCTCGAAAATGTGTACAATAAGATGTGATTTAACGCAACCGCGGTTAATCAAAAATCATTGAAAAATAAAACGACTGTATACAAAAATGCGTTTCATCTATTTGTTGCAAGTGGGTCTGAGAGAAAACAAACATTGAGCTGCAGACATCGTCTTAATAGAATGTTATTCGATGTTTATATCGAACTTGTAATACTAAACTAATATTTGTTTCTTGTAAATTATAAACGTTTAGGGTTTGCAGGACTATGCCTTTCAAATTTTCATCGGCGCTAAATAATATTAATAGACGATTTTCAAATACGGTCGTCGAATACTATATAGTGGAAAATTCGAGATTGTTGTAACTCGGTTGCGTCCATCTCATTCGACTAGAGACCACTACGACAGTAAAAAAATATAAAGTTACGATCGTCACACCTCTCCAGACCGCACCACACCTCATAATAATATTATATGCTTTACACAACTCGTCATCTAAACCAATTAACTGTTTCCCGCGAACGACGTAATGTGGTGGTCCCTCTCCCCCGCCGGATGCAGAAAAATAAGTATAATACACGTCATATTATAATACAGTCGTCGTCACAGGAAACGTCAATACAATAATATTATGATAATATCGACAACACACAGTGCGTAGATTTAACCTGCAGTAAATCAACAACAAAGCGTTTTCCGACCAGCTCAATTCAAAATTGTACATCTGGCGTGCATCATAAAATTCATAAGCGTTCCCACGACAATGACGACATCACGTGAGTGGTACACTAGTACGTAAATCGTCTCTATACGAACATATTATAATATTTTGTTCCAGTGCCCAATGAATTGGTCGTGCGAGTTCATAACTATTATATAGAAGTTCTAAATTAAGGTTAAAATATTAATTAATGTTGAACAATTCTGCGTTAATTGCCCACACAACTCCAGATTAAAGGTCCATTATGGACTCCGGAACACCCACCTGCTGCAGACTCTCTCGTTTCAAAACATTTTTAATTACCACTTTTTCCGTCGGTATACGTAATTATGTAATTTTGTACCATTTAAAATGAAAACTCATATGATTTACAAGATTAGCAAAAATATAATTAGGCATGTTAACACATAATAATATTATACACAATTATAAATTGCTTAAATACATATTATACTTTACATTTTACATAAAACACTACAACCACAGCAGCAACAAAATCAGTTTTAAACGAAATACGTCATAATAATATTATCATAAAATATTTTTACCTCTTGCAAATAGGTCAAAAACACCTAATATAAATATTAGGTAGGTACACGGTAATATCACGCATTGTCCACAATTCCTACTTTCACTAAATTACACATCTTTATCATATTGTTATCAAATACATGTTATAAATGTATTATATGAATATTCATTTATAGACATTATAATATTTATGATGTAAACATTTTTTTTTATTAAAATTGTTTGAAACGTCTGTAAAAAGATTTTAAAAAAAAAATATTTCTTACTAAGGAATGGGTCTCGGAAATGCGCCCTGGTGCTCCCCCTCCCCTTAATCTGGGATCGATTGTGCATCGTTTATATTATAATACGAGTACATAGGTAAGTCATAGATACGGTTATACGCGTTACAACTTAAAACTATAATCTTAAAGATATAGTTCGCATTGTCTGTCAAACTCGCGCGAACTAAGACGCAGTATATTGTATATCGTGTGCTTCCGATATTTTATTTGGAAAAATTTAACTGTGCTCAAACAATAGATTTTATCTGTTCAGGATCAGTTTATTACGATTTCCTCTCTATTCGATCCCCTGCAAACGCGGCCCTTTTATTCGACCGTTTACATCATTTTCCAGAAAATACGCACAAATCACGTATTAAACCTGAAAAACAAACTTTGGTCCGATTTACCAAAATAATATCAATTCAAAAGGGTCATTGTAATCGATTATAATAATTATATAAATATATATAATTCAAATAACCCTACCGATCACTGGTCAAACGACTCAACTGCAGTTATGAATAGAGCACAATGTTTAAATAATTCTGCGTTGTAAATTAGTTTGGAAAACGATTTTTCCATCAAAATGTATGGACGTATAATATTACACGTCTTGCAATCGATCAAAGTGTAAAA